ACTGTTGGCTGGCACGTCACACTCAGTGCCCTTCCACCCACTGTAGCACTGGCAGCGCCACCGGTACTGGCCATTCCCTGCCACAGCACTGACAGCAGCTGGACCAGACACATACACGGATATGGCATTAGACACCATACAGGGATGTGGATCAGACACACTGGCGTCATAGCTGATTAAGTCGACCACTTGAACCCCAAACCAACTTAAACCAGTGTTCCCAGCCTTCTTCTATAATTCAATTCAATTTTATTTGTATAGCCCAATTCTAACAGAAGTTATCTCAGACTCCCTTTCCAAATAGAGCAGCCTAGACCGAACTCCTATACACATTTACAGCACCCACAGTACCACCATAGCCAAGCCCTTGGCGACGGGGCAAGAAAAACTGCCTGTTTAAGACAGAAAACCAGACAGACCCTTCCGCCTAGCGTGGGTGTCGTCTGCCTCAACCCAGGTGGGTGAGAGAGCGAGAGAAGAGAGAGAGAGAGAGAGAGCCAGACAGACAGACAGACGCACAGCAACAACAGTAGCAACAACTACACTAATAGATATGTGACTGAAGAGGATGAGGAACATGAAGAAGATGATGACAACAACGCAACGATGGGTGACAATGAGCGTTATCAAGAGCAACAACATAACCGTAGCAATAATAATACCTTATAATAATAATAATAATAACACTAATACAGTGATATTAGCAATAAGTATAAGGGATCCTTTCCTCATATTGAGTAAACTGATGACCCAATGACAAAGTGATATATTTTATGAATATTGCATATTATATTCAAAATTGGTCAATGAACCCAAATAGTGAACTAGGTAACAAGACGTTTCTATAAAACCAGTGATTTGAAGTAGAAATAGACAAATGCTGAGATGTATTTCAACTTTTCTTACACCTTCTAAAATCAAGTAGGCCTTGCGAGCAAAGTGTCAACTTTGGCAACCCTCAGTTGGGGTCCCAACCCCCAGGTCGGGAACCACTGGTCTATTGAAACACCTAAAATGAATTGATTCTGATATATCCTCCAAAGTGTCCAAGGCCTGGTAAGGCTAAGAACATGGGAAAGAGCACTGAATTATACATGTCACTTCCTGAAATAAAGATGGTAATTAATGAATATATTTAAAATTAGTACATAAACAGAAAACTATATGGTGCTTGGATTAAACCAAATCTCAACCTGAGTGATGAAGAGGACTGCAGTTTTTCTAATGGCCACTTAATTCTTGCTAAAAGACCATTGTACTGTTACGATTTTTTTGTCTGGGTCTACAATTTGAGAACCATTGTTCCTTTAAGGCTTAAACAGACATATGTTTTGGCAAAGCCGATGGACCTGGTATCAAAACAGTCTTACTTTATGCAAAACAGCTGAACACACAACAATCCCATTGGAAAAAGAGGAGGAAGTAGTATGAAGTAAACAGGAAGTAGGTGGAGAGAAACACAAAGTGAACAGTAACATATCACTGACTCCAGAGTGTGCAGGTCACACTCACTGCTTGGATTACAACCTCCTGTGTGTCTGTGTGTTTACCTCGAGAGCAGTCAGGCCCCAGAAATCCAGGGAAACAGTGGCATATTCCTGAGAGACAATCTCCGTTTCCATGACAATTCTGAGGACACTCCATAATAGACTCTGATTAAGAGTGTGTGAGAGGGAAAGAGGGAGAGAGAAAGAGGTGGTTATAAGGGTGCAAGTTAATTGTGTAGGCTGGATATGCAGCTGTAGATCTTAAAGAATACCACACACACACACACACACACACACACACACAACACTGAGAGACCTGTCCTCTCTGGTTGCCGTAGTTACAACTAGTCAGTCCAATCAACACATTTTAACATCCAATTACCCTGCTGCTTTTCTCTCGCTCTCTCCTTTCTGTTATACACCATTGTTGGCTCTCTACCATACCAAACTGGCCATTTCCCGTACACACACACACAAACACACAACTCAGGCAGAACAGAAAAATCCAATTTTTAACAATAACTACATACTATACTGTGCCTCTCAATGTACGTACAATTTTCAGAGAACATTTTTGTCATTTATCACATGGTCTAGTGAGTGTGCTCGCCCTCTGACATAATGAAGGTTCAAATAAAAACCTTCATCATATCAGTGAAAGTAAAACCTAGGTCCCGACCGATATGGGATTATTGAGAACATTACCAATTTTAGAGAGGAATAATTAATTGATTACCGATATAGCAGCTGATATAGTACATTTTTGAGCTGGAATGAAAACAAACCTTTTCTTTGTGGACTAATATGAGTCTGCAAAGGTACTCAGAAGGCTGCTTTCTTAAACAAACAACTTAGTACATGTTAAATAATTTAACATAAACATTGTCAACAAGTTCAACATTACTGAGAGCTGCTTCTTCTCTCTTACTATGTACTGCTTGCCACAAAATTTTAAATCACAGCGCACTCTGCTGGATAAACTTTGCAGTGACACCAATGTATTTTTCTGCATAACATACCAGGAAAAAAAACATATCAGTGCATATTGGATAACGTATATGCTGATACCAATATGATACCGATATGTCTGTGATAGGCAGATAATATCGGTCAACTGATGTTGGTAGGGCTATACTAAAAGTTAATGGATTATGCCAAAATGGCCACTTTGTTCACTTATCTGGGCAAAACATTTAACTGATCATAAGGTTGTGATGTGGCATTAGAAAAATCTGCAGTTTTTATTTGAATGACAAGCTGGTATGGCTGTCAATCTAGAGTAATATATAAAGTCACATGAATTCTGGTATGACTGTTCACACTTAGGTCACACTGCAAAAAATCAGACCTGTATCTGATTTGGACCACATATAAAAGTCCTGAATCAGAAATGAAAAGATCAGATACCGTGTGATTTGTGCTGTAGTCATGAAAAAACTGACCTGAGTCACATATGAGCAAAGAAATCACATTTGGGCCACTTGTGCCTGCAGTCTGAACGTAGCCTTACACACGTAAAATAACTCACCACAGCATTCACTATTACAAACACACTGCTGTCTCACCTATGATGATGGTATTGTAAGACACTTGTTCCGTGTTGCGTCCGTCATTGTAGAATGCCAGATGCCAGATTCCTGTGTCCAGGTACTGGATGAAGCCTGCGTCATGGACGTTCACCGAGCGCTTATGTCGGGCTCCTCCCCCGGACTCCTCCTTGTGTGCACCAGCTGGGTGTGTGTGTCCTGCGTCCGTGTCACTGAGCGCTCGTTTGTCTTTGGAAATGAGGCGACTGCCATCCAGCAGCTCCACAAAGTCGTACTTGTGGACAGAAATACACAAGAATTCAAACATCGTTGATCATTTTTATTACAAGAACATAGCCCGTAGCAAGACCTCAGGATAGTGATGCTAGTCAGTCCAACAGTCTGCATCTCAAAAACTAGCCAGATTATCATTAAGTTTGATTTGATTATTCACAACTCCCCAGAGGAATATGGATTTTTATCCAGCACCACTGTCAACTCATAAAACACTTAACTCCATGACAAGGTATGTAAATCACTACTGGATAAATTTGCTTCTGTTTGAATAACATCTGAATCACACACACACACTTTTTCTCAGCAGAAAGAACTGTTACCCAAGGTTGACGAGACTGAAAATCTACACTAAAAGAAATTATGGGAATTTAGATGGATTAGGTTATTATCTAAAGTGCTAACATTGAGCTGTGATAGGGATGGCATTGTATGTCTTTTACAGATAAGTGGATTAGTCCCTTGATAGAAGACAAGATTCACCACACATAAATGTAAGTGTAGTCATTAAGGGGATAGTTTAGGTTTGTAAGAAGCTTATCTGCTTCATTATAAACTAAGAATCCATGAAGAACTTCAACTATACACACTTGCAAAAGGGATTTGGAGTTTTGACATTTTGGGAGACAGAACATTTTTTTCAGCACTTTTGGTGTTTGTTTAAATTAGAAAGGATTCTGGGTGGTTGACGACAGTCTTTTCTAAGATCTGATAAGATTTCATTCTAGTCACATAGATACAGATAAAACACCTCTGTAGCTCCAACTTTGAGCTGGTTGAATCCCATCTTTAGCAGCAGGTGCTGCCCTAGCTTCTGTGAACAACTATGCCCATTTCTTTGCTGCATCATCTTGTTCTTTGTCTCATGACATCGTATATTAGTGTCATGACGCATGTAACTGTAATTTGTACTGTGGCATCTATTCTATGTTTAACTGTCCTGGAGGTGGATTCCTCTCTGATTTGCACAAGCTTTATTCTGTTTTTCTTTTCTAGGTTATGTTGGGGGATTTCCTTGTATTTATTTATACATTTAAAAGTCCAGTGTGTAACATTTAGCAGGATCTATTTGTAGCAATAGGTATGTTCTTTCATCAGTGTATAATCATCTGAAAATAAAAATTGTTGTGTTTTCGTTACCCTAGAATGAAATGTTTTTATTAATAGAGGGAGCGAGTTGCCTTGTGTGGAGACAGCCATGTTGAACCACCATGTTTCTACACTAGCCTAGAACCAACAAACCAAACACTGACTCTAGATGGTGTCTGTCACATTTTTCACGGCCACCATAGTTTCTCCTACATGCTTGGTTACAATCTGCAACTTCACTCACCAAAAAAATCTTACACACTAGTCCTTTAATGTTTATGTGTTAATGTGTCTCATCTTTATTCAGACATGACAGGGCTTAAGGAAAGAGCTACATGTCATGTGATATTTTGCACCTGGTATGCATGGACAAGAGAGTGAGAGTGACAGAGAGAGACAGAGATAGCGGTAAAATATTATAATGGCAATGACAATTCCATTCTCTCAAAGGCTGCCTTACTGGTGGATTTAAAACTTATTTTGTTGCTGAAGCCTTAATGAGTGTAAGGGACACTTGCCCAGTGAAACCATTAATGCATTCCACATCAATTTCATCATTCAATGTTATTAGATAGCAAATTTTGCTGCCTGTTTTATCATATCCAACTGCATTTTGCTGCATACTCATGTTTTTATCCATATAAATAAAAAGTAGACATAAAGGGAGAGAGGGGTGTGACATTATTACTGTGGTTGTATAAAGTTTTTTTTATAGGATCTGATATAAATTTCTTCCAATTAAATGAGCTCATTCACAGCTTTCATGGATTATTGTATTATTTTATATCTTATAATCCTGTGAAATGACTTGGCCACATATATAAACATGAGATCAATGTTAAATTGCAATCAGATTAACATAAAGGAGTGCATGTCCAGAAGGGCCTTTTGGCTGGATAAACTATATGAGGTAAAAGTTTAGTCTCCATTAACTCTATCATGGCTTTGTTGAGCTGTACAAATAAATTAACATGTAATTGCAGGTGCATACATGTTTGTGGGACTAACCTGTGTGTGGGAGGGCGGTAGGCCTTTGCGTCCATACACCCCAACAAGAGCATCTTTCTGGACGGAAATGTTGAATTTCAAGAACTGCGGTTGGTCAATATATAGTTGGGATCTCCAGAACACACCTTGAATAAAGAACAACAGAGCATTATTCATTTTCAGAATTTCCCTGTCAGCTGCAGGAGAGAGAGGTGTGGGGAAGGCTTAGGAGAGCAGTGCCAGGTGCATTGACTATCACAGCTGCTACTCATTGAGTAATCAGTCTTCCCTTTATATTGCAGTAGTGTGCTGGACCTGGGTGGCAGAGAGACAACTGAGAGCAGGAGCCATAGCCATAGCCATAGCCATTTGCAGTTGTTGTATGTTGTATATTGTATATTGTATATTGTCTGTTGTGACAGCAACGCTTTAAATAAAAGTTGTTAGGTACCACGACCCAGTGCGTGAGATGGTGTGCTGCAAGAACCCACAGTAGCCCAGACCTCCATATATGATATATGAATCAATCCAAATCCAATTCATTGCATTCCTGTTATAAGGAGTTCGGTCTAGACACTAGACACTTTGAAAAGTGTCCCGAGATAACTTCTGTTATGAATTGGCGCTATACAAATAAAATTGAATTGAATTGAAATTCCTCTTAGCTAGGTGCATCTAATGAACTGGAAACTGATAATTCATAAAAAAATGGATTGCAGCCACTGAGGATGATATTACAGCAGAAATGTGGCCATAGGGTAATTTGACCTTGTTTTGTGTCTGTTGCAGTTTTATGTAGTGGTACCATTATTAGTAAGTACAAATTAGTATTTGTACTTATGTAGGTGCGCTGTAAGTGTCTTTATGTACTGTTTTTTGATTATTGTTATTTGTGGTGCTTTAACTGTGAGCTCTCCCTCATGCCTCTGGGTGCATGGAGAGCTGTTTTCTCTCCAGTGCATAACCAGTACATAACCATCATCTCTGTTCCTCACAGCAGTAGGTTTTATGTTGTTTTACAGTTTTATTCCCTTCCCGTGAATATCACGTTTGCACTGTCTGTGCCGTCTGTGATATGTAGATGATGCACACCGATGCGCTATTGCTACATCTGGCTACAATCACTACTGCTGTATCACTGGAAAGTCTCGGCATGACATCTTTTATGAATGTGCTTCACTTATCAACAATTATTATTGAAAATGTATGCATATTACCTCATTTAAATATGTGCTAAAAGCACCAGAGCACCGAGACGCTGTTTGCTTGGCAGCACAGTTAAAGGTGCATTTCACTCTTTGCAGGTGCTTTGTGAATGACACAGTTTTTAAATATTACACTTTCACTTTTGTTCTGAGTGGTATGACATTCATACGTGTGCGTGTGTGTGTAACTAACCTGGTGGAACATCTTGTACAGCTCGTCTCCCCACGTCCACCTCTCCTGTGTCTATGGTGTTGTTCTCTAGAAGAAACATTTTACCTAAAGAGAGAAACAGATAAAACAGAGTTTCTTCCTTTCATCCATGTAACAGTATCTCTACAATGGTCACAACTTAATTGAATACAAATGACTGACAGTAGGTTTAGCTCCACCAAAGGTCTGAAATCTGCAGATAAAAGATTGAACGAAACTACCATTCATCATGCACTTGTGCATGTTTTAACTGCTAGGTCATGAGTAAATATTGTCCTGGTTTATGTGTGATATCCTGGGAATCTTTAGGCTCACAGTTCCCACATTTCACAGTGAAAAATATTTGAAATTCAGCCTCAGTGTGTATTATCTAGCTGGAATTGTGCTTTTTTAAAAAAAACTTTTTTATGAACGTTAGCTTAGATTAATTAAGGGTTTATTTTGACCAAAACAACATTGGTGATTGTTGGAAAGACTCACAAAGTCTGTTTTGGTGAGTTTTATTTTATTTGTGTCCCAGACAAATGCTTGAGTGCGACATCCAGTGTCAAGTGCATGTTGTATATATAACTTTCAATATGAATCTACTTAAACATTAGCTTAGAGGTAGGGTAAAGTTCTGCCGATGGTAAATTAGAAAAGCCACTCAGTATCTCAGCTCGGAACTGAACCTTTGTCACTGTAAAATAATGTAAATAGATATATTTCTTTAGTTTCTCTCCAGTGTATGTACTGTGCAGCTGGAATTGTTTCACTGCTGTTCAAAGCTTGAAATTTCATAGGCCTTTCCTGTTCATAACATTACACTTTAACAGCTGAAGTCATGACATCTGGGCAGTAAACCAACACTGACTCAAGAAGTCTGTGTTTGAATGTGTGTGTAATATTTATGGCAGTCTAGACGTAAGGCGCATTCGTTACACTAATATGAGCCGCAACATATGACACAAGTATTCAAGGCCAGCTCCAAGACACACATCCATCTTTATTTCTAACACACACTACCCGTCTCTCTCTTTCTCACTCAGTTTTACTGTAATTAACGGGCTTGTATATCTCTAAATCTTTCTCACGCACACACACACAAAAGTCACAGCAGGAGCAGAGTATTTTGTTTCTAACATCTGCAGAAGCAATTGAGGACTAATGCTGTTCAAGAAAGAGAAAGAGCCTAATTTCTGCCTCGTCTTCATTCTTGATTCTGATGGCGTGTTCACACAGAAAGTGCAGCAAATTTTTCACGGAATGACATTGCATACAAAGTCAATGTACAGATGATTTCACGCCGAGCAATGTGCAAGTATTGTCATCATTTGTGTATACTTGCACGAGAAACACAAGGCAAAAATCGTTTTGCATTTGATGTGAACACACCATTATTATTCTCTTAATTTCA